TGGCCTGATATGAAAAGATGAGCTGGGTAAATCAGATTCTGTCTCTTGAGCACTCGATGTAGGAAATTAGGTAACAGAAGAAGTGAAAATTGAAGATTGATGATGTGGCAAGTGGCTAGAGAGGCCCTGACAGTCCACGTGCAAGCTCCAGCTATGATGAACAGAGACCGTGAGTGAGAAGAAGCCATGAAATAGAGAACAGCTATGAAGAAAGAAGTAGGCAAAGAAGACAGGTGGGAGAGAGGGAGAAAGTCTGACAGGTCCAGTGTGGCTCTGTTTCATTAACAGCAGTCATGCGTGTCTAATTAGTCTCACCCACAGACTTTTTGCCAAAATTCCCTAGGGACTTTCTGGAATCCATTTCCAGTTCCAGCATTGCCAAGCTATACTGCCATCCCTAGATCTTTGTAGAGCCTGTTGCTTCAGCTTTTCCTGGGTTTCTATGCTTTTTATCCTTCCAATGAACCCATCATTTCAACACAAATGAGTCTGCGTTCATTGACAATAGAAGGTCTTAAGGAATACAGTCCAGATTCAGTTAACTAATACAGTGGGGTCCCTTTCCTGTCTGACTGCACCCTGTGGAGTGTGAGTGGGGAGGGGGCTGCTTTTATAGTTGTTTTTTTTTTTTGAGACAGAGTTTTACTCTGTTGCCTGGGCTAGAGTGCCATGGCATCAGCCCAGCTCACAGCAACCTCAAACTCCTGGGATCAAGCAATCCTACTGCCTCAGCCTCCCGGGTAGCTGGGACTACAGGCATGCGCCACCATGCCTGGCTAATTTTTTCTGTACCTTTGTAGTTCTTTGGCCTATTTCTTTCTGTTTTTAGTAGAGACGGGGTCTCGCTCTTGCTCAGGCTGGTCTTGAACTCTGAGCTCAAACGATCCACCCACCTTGGCCTCCCAGAGTGCTAGGATTACAGGCATGAGCTACCGTGCCCAGCCTTTTATAGTTTTTTTCCAAGAATGTTTGCTATGCTTGGGTGCTCACTGTCCTCCACTATCCTTGCTGGTGTAGAGAAGACGAAGGGAATAGCTAGGTGAGGCTCTGGGAGGACCAGCCCTTCCTGTCGACCAGCCAACTGACCAGTTTCTAAGGGTCGTAGGACCCTGAAGACTAAGTTAGTGGCTTAGCAGCCATGCGCCTTTGGCAAAGGCAGAAAGGAGACCTGAGGACCAGCCTGTATACGCCTCCTTTATCCTTTTCCTTTCCATTCTCTCAACATGAGAGGGCTCAGATATCACCTTCCCTCCCTGCAACTTTAAGGAGCTTTATTTATTCCATGACACAGAGAGAAAAGATTACAGATAGTGCAGTATTTTGTTCTACTCTCTGATAGAACGAACTGGCACACCTGTGGCCATTAATATAGGAGAAAGTGTGGTTTAGTGATAGAGAACATATGCTTTAGGGACAAAAAGACCTTAGTTCAAGTCCTTCTCTTGCTACTAATTATCGGAATACTGGAAAATTTACTTCATCTTTCTGTGTCTTAGTTTCTCCATCTCTAAAATAAGGCAAAAATACCTTCCATTTAATGTCACATGGAAAGCATTTAATTGGTAGTTAAAAAAGTGTTAGTCTCCACCCCCTGCCCCATCACTATATAGTTGTAATAGCCTGGCATTCTGATTCGATCTCTAACACTATATTCTATCCTGCCATCAAACCATAGGGCCAAATCTGGGGTTTGTAAGAATACAGTGACCATGGATATGGGGTTATGAAGAAGCAGAGGGAAGGGGAGGGAAGATATACCCTTGCTGCCTGCATCTCCAGGGCATAGAATTTAGCTATTGCTTTGCTTAGGAAGGCCCAGGGCAGGGAGCGCACAGAGCCCAGTAGAATTCGCCCACTTCCCGCTTCCCATGTAAGTGTGTGCCTGCTTCCCTGTGAAGTGTTGGCAGAAAAGTTACGTGGCTATGGCCGAAATCTGAAGCCCCTGAACCCAAGTGGCATGAGCAGATGCAGAGGCACCCAGCCCAGTCTCCCCTGCATGGCAGCCGGCAGACCATGCCCTGCAGCTTGGGAGTGACCAGCGCACAGTCCTGGTTTCTCACTGATAGCAGGATACTGTGTTTGTCTCTTACACACACATATTCTCTCATTCGTTTTTCTCCTTTTATTTCTTCTTTTCTCCTCTCTTTTTCTCCTCCTGCCTCTCTCTTTGCTTCCTTCCCCTTCCTCGTCTGAGAGCCTTTTCTCTGCTCATTTTCCAGGCCTGCTGACGATCCCTGTAGGCACCGTTTCACCCCTGGGTGGCCCTGGGGCTGAAGACACACTGTCATGCTTCCCTATACTCTGCTGGAGGGCTACCAATTCAAAAATCATGCCCAGACTTCCCCTGGAAGGAATGAAGGCACTGCATCAGGTTAAATGCAGACAAAACACAGACAAAATGTAACCATGGAGAAATGTGCATCTTAAAACCCTGACCTTATACCCAAGATTCTATGGATCTTCGCTCTGCCGTGTCTTGATCTTATGATTCAGAAATGAGGCTGATATTTCCTTGGGATATATTAATATATTTTAGTTATAAGAGAGCAGAGATAGAAGCTTTACAAAATGAGCTTCTTATCTCTGTCCTACACATGCGATGTGAGTGGGGAGCATCTGGGATCATTGCTCTTTCTCAGACTGGGGAAGGCATGGAGTGGCCAAGTAGGATCAGCCTATAGATTAGCCCATTAGGCTTGGGCAGATAGTCCTGCTTCCATACCCGTTTGCTCACCCATTGCCCTCACTACCCTACACGTACACACATGAGAGTGTCTGCACTTGCCACTGCAGAGCTGTAGAAGTGCACGATCGTGCAAGAGGGCAACACAATCCCTATGGCCTTGATGCCCCCGGGGGTTGTTTGACGGGTTTGCTGAGTAGCACCAATTCTAGGGAATCAATTAGCAAGAATTTCCTTATTTTATTAAACTAGTTTGGGGGTTTTTTGGTTTGTTTCCTTTTGAAAGTAACCCATATAAATAATTTATGGATTGATATGAATAGAGAGGTATAAGGGGAGAAATAAGAAAATAGAGGAAAAAATATCACTCGCATCCCCAGGAATCAAGGGAGTTAAGGGAGTAGAATGACAGTTACCAGAGGCTGGGAAAGGTAGTGGGGAGGCTGTATAAAGTGGGGATGGTTAATGGGTACAAAAATATAGTTAGGTAGTTAGAGTGAACAATATTTGATATCACAAAGTGACTATAATTCACAATAAGTTAGTGTATACTTTAAAATAACTAAAAGAGTAGAATTAGAATGTTCCTAACACAAAGAAATGATAAATGCCTGAGGTGTTGGATACCCCAATTACCCTGATTTGATTAATTCACTTTGTATGCCTATATTAAAACATCACATGTACCCTATAAAGATATACAACTATTATGTACCCATTAACCAAAAAAAAAAAAACCAAAAAACACTGTTGACATTTCCTGTTTCCTTCCAAAGTTTTTTTCTTGCATATTTTAGGCTTTTCTTAAAAAGAAATTGTGGGCCTGGTGCGGTGGCTCACGCCTGTAATCCTAGCACTCTGGGAGGCCGAGGCGGGTGGATTGTTTGAGCTCAGGAGTTCGAAACCAGCCTGAACAAGAGCCAGACAGACCCCCGTCTCTACTAAAAAATCGGATGACTAAAAATATATAGAAAAAATTATCTGGGCATGGTGGCGCATGCCTGTAGTCCCAGCTACTTGGGAGGCTGAGGCAGTAGGATCGCTTGAGCCCAGGAGTTTGAGGTTGCTGTGAGCTAGGCTGACACCACAGCACTCACTCTAGCCCAAAAGAGTGAGACTCTGTCTCAAAAAAAAAAAAAAAAAAAACTGTGATCATTTAATTTTATATCCTTCCTTTTCCTTTCAAGTTATAGCATATATTAATATTTCCCCATCATTACAAACCTTTCATAATTATAAGTGCTTTATAATGGTTTTGAGGTATTTCTTTGATGACTATAACATTTCCCTGTTTTTGAAAATGTGGATTCGTTCAACCTCCTGTGTTATAAATTCTGTCATGAGAAACATCTCAGAGCATAAAGACTGACAAGAGTGCCTTGAGATTCTGGTATGTGTCAGGCCTTGGGCTGGGTCCCATGGGGAATATACGTGGTCCCTGGTGTCGAGGAATTTACAGTCTAGTTTGGGAGATAAAAATATAGTCCTAGATTAATCCTGAGCTCTTTTGTCTTTTCGGATTATTAATAGTAAAGTGAAAATATACATTATACTGTTGAACTAGGGGGGAAAAAAACAGAACCAAGAAGGGATATATATATTGATTACAATTGGCATATAGCACATATCTAAATTGATCAAAACACAAAATGAATTTTTAATAATAGCAAATGTCAGGAGGAGATGAAATTCAAACAGGAGTTAGTCCAGTTTGAATTTTAACTTTGCCTGGTAAGTATCTAAACACTGACACCGAATTATACATTTTCTTCCATTTGATTGAAATGCTCTGATTAGAGTTGATTGCTTTTCATATATCCCCAACTGTGTAAATATTCATTAAGAATGTGTTCATTAAATTGCAGCCAACATTGGCGGCTGATTATCTATGTTACGTGTCCAATTTTTATGGTCCTGTAGAGATCTATTCTCCCCTTGTTTTCATTTTTACAATTACTTTGAATCTCCTGGAAAAATATTCCAAAGAAGAACTATGAAATTTATAAAACTACAACAGATTAAGACAGAACGCCATGATGGTGGGCGGGGGGTATGAGTGATGGATGCTACCGCAGAGCAGGGCTGGGGTATACAGGGAGTAAACCAGGAAACAGCCTATTTGAAAGATGCTTTCAAACACCGGGATCGTGGGTATTCGAATGAAGTATGCATGCATCAGAGAACCAAGTCCTTCCAAACCCAAGTCTTAGAAATGATAGAGGAATGGGGACTTTTCTAGGGTCTTGGCAGAATGATTCACGTGCTCTGTCCTTGCTGTTAACAGGGCTGCCTCTCACCACTTGTTCTCTTCTTTCAGATCGATGACCCCAAAAGCACCTTTGAGGAGGTGGCTAATGAGACTGAGGCCGTCACCTCCGTGAACAGTCTGGGAAGCAAGCAAGCCTTGAACACAGATTACCTTGACTCTGATTACCAAAGAGGACAGCTGTACCCGTTCCCCCTTAGCGGTGATTTCCAGATGGCTACATTCGCTCTCACAAATTCAGCTCCGATGACCCAGTCCTTCCAGGACCGGTGGTACATGAATCTTGACAGCCTAATGGACCGGGCCTTGACCCCGCAGTGTGGCAATGGGGAAGACCTATATATCATCACAGGTGCCGTACCCTCAGACCACAAAGTCAAAGACAGAGTGACAGTCCCTGAGTTTGTGTGGCTGGCAGCCTGTTGTGCTGTCCCTGGAGGAGGCTGGGCCATGGGCTTTGTCAAGCATACCCGGGACAGTGACATCGTAGAAGACGTGATGGTGAAAGATCTTGAGAAACTGCTTCCATTTAACCTTCAGCTGTTCCGGAATAACTGTGACGAAACTGAGCAAGACACAGAGAAAATGAAAAAGATCCTGGAAATGGTTAACCAAGTCCAGGATGAGGAGCGAAGGGTGCGGTCTCAAGAGCGCTCTAGTCCCCTCTCCAGCACCAGGAGCAAGAGGTCTGTTCTGTTGCCTCCAGAGGCGTCTGAGGGAAGCAGCAGCTTTTTGGGAAACCTCATGGGCTTCATTGCTACCCCATTCAGCAAGCTTTTCCAGTTAATTTATTACCTTGTGGTCACAGTCCTGAAGTACAGTGTCTACTTCCTGTGGTTTGTTACCAAGCAGGTGATCAGCAGCATAGAAAGTTGCCTTTACCGCCTGGGCTCAGCCGCCATCTCATACTTCATGGCCATTGGGGAAGAGTTGGTGAGCATACCCTGGAAGGTGCTCAAGGTCATAGCCAAGGTCATCAGGGCTGTTCTCCGGATCCTTTGTTGTCTGCTGAAGGCCATTTGCCGCATTCTGGGCATCCCTGTCCGAGTCCTCGTGGATGTGGCCACTTTCCCCGTGTACACCTTGGGTGCTGTTCCAATTGTGTGCAAGGACATTGCAGTGGGCCTTGGTGGCACCATGTCTCTGCTCTTTGACACTCTTTTTGGCACCATGGGTGGCCTATTTCAGGTGGTTTTTAGTATCTGCAAGCGGTTTGGCTATAAGGCTACTTTTGACAATTCTGGGGAGTTGTAGGACTCTAAAAGCTAATTGTGTCCAGTCACAGTGAATTTGAAAGCTAGAGTATTTTGTCTTTATGATGGGTTTCTGTTCATTGTCAGTTGTCATTATATTTTGGCCTTTGGTGGGGGTGTTTGCTTGTTTTTGCAAAGGAAGGTGGCGCAATGTAGACTTGACACAAGAGAAATGCTCAGGGTGAGATTAAGTGTACTGAGGTGCTGTGTACCTCCAGTCCTGTGTGCACACCTGCAAGCCACGAATACCTTCAGTTATTCACTCTGACACAGATGACCACCTGATATGCTCTGGTATTCATTTGTGATGATTAAAAATTATAGGGGAGGGAAGAATTAGAAAGAAGATGACTTTTAACCAAAGGGTTTCTGAGAAAAGGAGAATGGAATCTTGTTCCTCGTATTACTCTTTGAGACTTCAGGCAAAACAGATAAAAATGTTCACAGCCAATTTCTTGGCATTTGCTTCCCTTTCTTCCTAGCTCGACTGACCTTGGTGAAGAGCAGATGATGCTTCTCTCTCAAGATAACTTCCTTAGAGATTTAGAATTTGCTGTATCTCTTAGCTTTCCATGGTTCCCAAGGACAAGTAAGGTTTTATTTTTCTCCAAAGTTGAATTTTTCTGTGTTTTTCTTTTAGGTAATGTTAATGATAAAGCATTTTATAAAATCATATTTAGGTAATGATAAGCACTTTATGCCAAATGTGGCATAACAAAGTTTGTAGAGGCAAATATTTTTTTGCCCCTCGAATGGTATAATACAGTCCTCTCAGGTATATAGTAGAGAACAAAAGGGGGACAGTCCTGCTCTTAGTAGGTGCCATAGATCCAAGGACATCTTTAGCCAAGCTTGGATTAACTTGACATATATTAAATCTCTGGCAGACGAGAAACATACTAGGTCTTTCTAATTCATCAAGTAAGTATCTAATATAGTAAAACACTCTGACTTATGTCCCTATATGATTGTTTTGGTATTACTATATAAAAAAGAGCCACAAAATAAAATTATTCTGTCTCTGGAAAAATATATTGACAAATATTTATTGACAAAAAAATATATTGACAAAAAATATATTGACAAATATCTCTTAGGAAATTATAATGTGTTTGAGGCTATATGACATAATTCCCCCACTGATGCAAGTTAAATTTGAGAGCTCATTCACAATTTTTTGATCAAGCATTTGTCATTTTAAATCTTGCACTAAAAATGGTAACAAGAAGGACCAAACTTTGCTCGGCTTTCCACAGCTGAGATGGAATCATCTGGATTTTTCTGAGTGTTTTAAAGAGTTGCTGCAAGGTAGGAAAGAGCCAGATGTGAAATACTGAGGTTGGGGGTGCAGCCCATGATTTATCAGAAACATAGATGCAAAAATCTGGGGTCTAGAAAAACAACAAGGAGAGAATGATGTGTCGACCATTTATATGGGGCTGGTGGATAAGAAATGTGAGTATGGCGAGAGTTATATTTTGCAGAAAAATAGTTGAATTGCACCCGGAGTAGAACAGCAGCCAGCAAGCTGCCATCAATTTGTGATGCAAGGTTGGAGAGTATGAGAACCAGACTGGTCCATGTAGTGAGATATGTACTCAATTGATCTCAGAATCTCAAAGCAGTATTTTTACTAACACTTCTCTCGGCGAGCATAGAAATCTGTAGTTGGATGTCCCTTCATTTCAGTAGCGTGAAGGAAGGGTGAGAGTTTGCCTTGGTACTGATGGGTCAAGAATCTGGCTGGATAAAAGAAAGGAATCTTAGAAGTGACCACTGGGATAGTCTGACCAAACTGTCATTTGATAAGGAACCTAAGGCACAGGGGGCAGTAAGCTTGCCCTTGGTTTCATGGCTAGCTGAGGGCAGATCGGGAGCGAAGTTCATTTGCATGTGTCCCATCACACTTGGGATGTCAGATACAGGGAGCGTGTGCTATCATTTAGCTGCCTCCCTGGACCATGGCAGGATTTTCTCATCCATCAAACAGACTCCAGGCCCTGACTAATCAATTGAATCTGGCATGTGTGATAAATAATTAGCCATCCACCAACAACGTCATGCCTACTGCACCCCATGGAACCCTTATTCCCTTATAGCACCTATTTGCATACCGAAAGGCCCAAAGCGGTCATCCATGGCAGCTTGAGCCCCTTAACACTGTGCAGGGAGCACAGCATCGAAACTGCTTCTTGAGAATCATTTGGAAATGCCTTCTTTTTCATGTCTAGTTGTTTAGTGTCTGTTTATTCTTGTGTGGCCTCTTGAAATCTGGGAAGGAACAGTAAAGCAAAAAGTACCCTTAATATAGGCGGCTGAGACCCTCTGCTCTGGACTGCTAGTGTTGGCTGTGACTCTGGTTCACTGGAACTGTCTGCATTGGGCCTAAAGCCCCCATAGGTGGCTGGACTGCTGGCCTGTTTCCAATGAGCTACTTCTGGCTTTGGGGTGGGAGTTTGGTTGATGAACCCCAGCTCTGGCTTAAATATTTTTCTGTGGCTCTGTTGTGTTCTTGGACCCTTGGGGAGGTCAGCCAACTCTTCGTCGTTATGGAACTGACTTTCTAGTCTGCGATCGGCTATGCCTTTGGACATTCCTCTTTTCCATCGTGCCTTTTGATTGTTGGCTTCCCACTCAGCATCAGCCTTTCACCGAAATGCAGACTAGAGAGTTGGGAGATGGAACCAAAGTGAAGCACTCTTCATCCATTCAATCATTTATTCATCCTCAGACACGTATTTATCTGGACATCAAGGTTGCAGAGATGAACAATGCATGGATCTCATCTTTGAGGATTTTAAAATCTGGTGGAGAGAATGATACTTGTAACACATCATGGTGAGTGCTGCAGCCAAGGTACTAGCAGCACACCCCGGAGCACAGGAGGAGAAACCACAAAACCATGGAACTTAGGCCTTTACAGAGGGTGTGACAAAAATCAATTTGACGTTTTCAAGCTATGTGCAATGCTGTGCACCTTGCAGATGCTAAATAAAGTAATTATTGACAACTCATTAGCAGTTCTGTAAAATCTCTAAAAAAGGAGAATCCTAACGGTTGAAATGAGGGTTGGGGATTACCTATACTTTTTCTTTTCCCCCATTTCCTTCTTTATCCACATGAACTCAAGCAGTTTCCAGTCACATCTGTCACAACTGTTCATTTTTTTAAAATTTTGAGGCATACATGAGAAAACAGAAGTTTGGGTCAGTGAAACAGGCCTTAGAACTACTTTTTTCTTTTTTTTTTGAGACAGGGTCTCACTCTGTCCCCTAGGCTAGAATGCAGTGGTGGCGTCATGGCTCACTGCAACCTCAAACTCCTGGGCCAAGTGATCCTCCTGCCTCACCCTCCCAAAGTGCTGAGATTACAGATGTGCGCCACTGCACCTGACCAGAACTACTTTTCATCGTTATTTTTCTGAAAAGGTATTTGTTTTTTATGTGTCCTTCATAAATAAGCACCAAAGGCTTATTGCTTTACTGAGTCTGAATCACTCAGACAGTTATAGAAACACTCTTATTTATTTGTTGATTCATTAGGAAGCTCCCACAGTGTGGGAGATAACAAGCAGTCTCTGAAGAGGGCCTGCCCTCTCTGTGACCCTTGGGTAGGGCGCCCCCTCTGAGCTGGAGGTGGCAGTCATTCTTGGCTGCCTTCCCAGTGTGGGCCGAGTCCTGCGTGTGTCTGTGTCTTACTCAGCATTTTGCCTAAGCTCATCGCACAATATGTGTTTTCCAAATGTTACACTATAAGCACTATATGTGGACTGCTTCACTTTCATAAATGGGTTCTCAGACTTCTCATTGTCTCTCTTTCTAGGTATTTTCTCCCAGATCACAGGTCAATTTTTGAGAACTACACTACCAACTTTTAAGCTTAAATTTCAACAAAGAAGGTGCTTATAACCGCTTGTCATTTATTATCCACAGCGAGATGCCTAGTGGTTAGAACCCAGGCTCCAGAGTCAAAATGATGTAGGCTCAAATCCAGGCATCCCTACTTACTGTGTGGTCTTGGACAAGTTACCTCAGCTTCCTTATCTATAAAATGGGGCTAATTATTAGTATCTACCTTGGGGGTTTTTATGAACATTAAATGAGTTAATGAATATAAAGCATTCATTACCATGTCTAACATATGGTAAGTACTCAGTAAATGTTCATTGTTGCTACAGCTGCTGTTGGCAATAACATCCATACATCTTGGATGAAATTGGCTGAAAGTTGCCTTAGAGGTCAGGGTGTTTCTAGACCAAAGCAGGAGAACCAGGGTCAAAGTATGGTCTGGGGGTCAAAGTAACAAGTGAAAATGAAACAACCAGCTTTGTAGGGGGTAAAAAAGTACCCTGGTTTGTCATATATGCCAATTTCTGTGGTGTAAATATCCCCACCATCACTGATTTCAAGCTGCCAATGTGACATCACTGAAAGCAGAGTTGGGAAGAGATGTACACAATCCGTGCTCCTGAATGGTGCAAGTCATTGGGAACTCCCCCATGCCACTGTACTTCTTAATTCAACTGAGTGCATTAAAATATATAGAGAAAGAATGTTTCTAGTAGAAAAGGAGTTGAACAGCTATAGTATGGCAGAGAAAGGAAAACCACTAAGGCAAATACCATGCCCATTTGAATACTATCCAGGAGAGAGGAAGGTTTGGCAAATTGAACTTTGAATATTTCAAAATCCAAAGGCTACATCACCTACCCTGTAAAATGAATGTATCGGGTTATTTTAGCTCAATGCCATTAATGCCTCTTTTTCAGTCCTGTTTCAATCAACAACCTTCTTTCATGACCTGGCTTCCTATGTTGGTTTGCCTCTGTGGAGCAAGTACACTGAGCACACAGACTCCAAATCCCCTTGACAATGCTTCATCAGAGCAATTGAAACAAAGTACCTTCCTGTGTAGCTTAAGAACATAATGTACTTAAAATGCTAATGGAAATGTTCTAGTCTATATATCAGTTCTATTTTTCAACGTAAATTAATAAAATATCATTGTAGCATTGCCTTCAATCTCCGGTGTGTCCTAGTATGAATCCCCTTCTTACAGCCTCGTCACTCCCAAAAGCTCATCAGAGCCCACATCTGAGCTTTCAAATCTAGCAAACACCTCAGGGTGTGGTATTCAAATCAGCACAGGGAATTCTGCACAGCCCTGGGTAGCTTTCCCTGTAATATCACGGCTACATTTCTACCTCCTGTCTCAGTTCTCACTGCTCAACACTGTATCCTCTATCTGTGAATCAAATATCATGAGGATGTGTTGAAAATCAATAAAAACACGTCTTCTGCCATTGCACTTCAAGGTGACAAAATACATTAGTTAGCATCCTTTTGCTTGCATGCAACAGAAACCCCTCTCAAACAAGCCTAATCCCAAATTTACTGGATCGTGCAACAAAAATTTAGAAAGAACCTGTTGATAGCGGG